ATGAAATGGAAACTGGGATTATAATCAGCTGTGGCATATTTAACTATATTGGAGTTACATAGGGGTAATGGAAAAGAAAATGGAAACTACTATATTATAGTGGGGTAATATGGGGGTATATTATTGGGGTTACATAGGGGTAATATTGGGATATTGGGGTTATATAGGGGTTATATTGAGATAATGGAAAAGAAAATGGAAACTACAGGGATTATAATTAAAGTTGTTCCATCTGCTCGCTCTTGTCTGACCCTACCTTTTGCTGCGAGGCACCATAGCCGGAGCTAACAACGATCTTGCCCGTGTAGAAGTCCTTCAGGCTCTTGAAGAACGGCGAACCGGACGCGCTTTCTGGCCAAGACGGCAAAGACTTCCCCAGGCCCTGCGCAAGACATGGCGTCTGTCGCTTAGGCCATCCTGGTCCTTTGCTCGTTCATCCGGCCTTGTAGAACGCTGCGAGGCCAGCCCCACCAGCTGCGACCGCAATAATCTCGCTCATGCACATGGCTTTGTCCTCGAAGGTGGCATTTGCGTGGAGCTCTCCTCTGCAGAAACAATGCCAAATCTTGCAAAGATTGAAACTCTCAGCCAAGACTCCATCTGCAATGAGTTCGGCCCCGATGCGCTCTGCCGCTGAATGGTACCACTCCGAGTCTGTAATCCTTGGTCGATGACTTCCACCACCCTTCCACATGTCTTGGGACAAAACCCAAGATGTACAAGCAGCACCATGCAAGGATTGCTGTCTACAAGCGGCGGCTGCAGGTTCACGATGGCATGCACCACGCAAGCAAGCGTCTTGCTGCACCCGCCTCTGCTACAGTCTGTAAATAGTGCTTGACATGGCCCCTCCATGTTCTCCAGATTCACGGGTATGAGATTCGTATGATTTGGATACCACTTTTACCCCTGCTGCCTGTGAACTTGTGGTCAACGGCCAGCATGCGGTCCAAAAGCCCAGGGGTAGCCTGTGGATGCACTACACTCACTACACTCACGAAGACTTTCACCTCTTTTTCCCAGTCACCTTCCAGAACTCCATCCACACGTCACGGGCACTGAGGGCAGCATAGGCTTCCTTGGCCACTGCTGCCCTGATGCGCGCGCTTAGTATGTCCTGAGGCAGCCACAGAAGTCACTCAGTCAAAAGCAATCTTGCCAACATTGATTCCATTGACGGAAGATGTACGCCAACTATTTTCCCTTTACTTCTGCCAGGATGGCGCAGAATTGCTTCAATCTTTAGCATGCACGCTCATGCTCATGTGAGCCATGGTCTAACCCCTATGGTAGTCCCCTGCATAATCTAGACCCTAAGCCCTAGACCCTCAACCCTATTGTTATCCCCTATGTAACCCCCTTTAAGGAGTTTAGACTATAGCTCATGTGCAGTTCCCGGGTCCCCTGGGCCCACCAGCTGCGATGCGAAGCGCTGTGTTGCAACGTCCAGCTCCGCTGCTCTCCTTCAAAAAGTCAGGTTCTTGCTATTATCACAATTACAATTCTATCACTTTTCTTATGAATACAATGACGATTAATATTATTGCTATTAATATCAGTACTGTTATTACGACGACTGTTTGTATTACTATTATCACTATTAAGATTGCTAAGCCTCACAGTCGGGAGCAAGTAGGAAGACTTTTGAGTCTGAGAGTCTGCGCTGCTCCATCGCCAGAAAGGCTGGCCGAGGCGTCCGGAGGCCCCGTCATGTTTGAGCACAAGGCTGAGGTCCGAGGATGGTTGCCAGAGGGCTCTGGAAAAAACCCTGAAGCAGCTCTTTTGACGACTGTTGGCTGTACCCTGCTGTCACCCAAGCTGGTTTGCTAGAAGTGGCTGATTGAAAGCTGATTTTGCAGTGAAAAGAGTCCCTGAAGCATATCAAGCTCTTGATGCGCACCTGCCAGCTCTCTGGCAAGACTGTCCAGTAGAAGACCTGGGCCTCAGCAAAAAGTTGTCTCCATCTAGGCTCACGTTGAACAGCCCCTTCGAGTCCTGAGCTATCTGCCACGCCTGCCGCGACACCCATGCCAAGCAACGCAGGACCCACAGGCGCCGCTTCTTGTGAGTTTCTGCCTGACACAGCTGGCTGCTGCCAAGAAGCATTCAAAAGCTTCTCTGTCCCTTGACATGTGGATGCACATGGTTATGAGCTGCGCACCATCGCCCAGTGCAGTCTGCATGGCAAGCACCAGAAATACAGCCGCCTGTTTCGTGGGCTCGGGAGAGGATGTGTGCTTTGGGATCCCTCGACAACCTTATGGAGCAAGATGTGTTTCTCCCTGCTAGTGTCCTTGCATACTAAGGGGGCACCACACAACACTACCATAAGAACCATAATCTAAACTCCTAGTATCCCTCTTGAAACCCTTATAGTACTCCCCTATATACTCCCCTATGTAACCCCCCCTTCCCTACCAGAAATCTCCTTGAGGCCTTCTTACATTTGCTCAGGGACATTCAGCCTCTGAGGCAAGCAGTCGCCGCAGCGAGTCCCAAACGCCCGCAGGCTCCAGGGTGAGATCATACCTCAATTACTATTAGCACTATTACCATTGCTATTCTTGCCATGACTACTATTACTATTCTTACTGTTGTCGCTGTTACTAAGCTTACCATCACTACTATTGCTTTTCTTACTGAGGTCACTGTTACTATTATCATTACTATTATAAGCTACCTATTATTACTATTCTTATCTGCACTGCAGTTAGAGATTTGTCAGCAGAACACCACAGCTGGCATGGCAACTCCTGCATAGCGCACTCCACAGGTGCAGAAACGCCTGCCAAGCTATCCCAGTGATGTGTGCACGTGATTCGTGTACATCTAAGGGGAAACCCCCTGTCTTTGTAGGCCCCCTTACCCCTAATCCCTAAACCCATTTTATTGCCATGAATATTACTACTATTACTATTACTATTGTTACTCTTATTAGCCCCTAAACCCTAGACCTTTGTACAAAAACAAGACAAAGCTTGCAAGGAGGGGTGGGCACCTTCTGGCGGTGGAAGCATCTCAAAGCTCCGCAGCAGCTGCAATGCTGCCTGTCATCTCTCTCCGCTCCCTAGGATATAGAGGTTATGTACATGGTAATTTAGTCATAGAAAATTATCTGGAAAATTATAGGGAAGCTGTTGTATCATGTAGGGTTTGAGGTATTTAGGGATGTCAACCCCCAACAATGCAGAATCACATGGTAAGAGAAAAAGGAGAAAGAAACGGAAAATGAAGTGGAACCTGTGGGAAATAGCTGCCAAATCCGCTTCCAGACTGCTTGGAAAAGTGGAGGGCTAGTGCTTAGCAATACTAGTACTAATAAGTAATAGTGAGAATAACCATGATAGTAGTTCTACTAATATTGATAGTCATAATAACAATAGCAATACTAATAGTAATAATAGCCAGAATAGTAATAGTAATGAAGGGAATAGCAATACTAATACTAATAACCACAAAAGTAATTAGCAAATGTCAGTGCAGAAGCCCAGGCCTCAGAGTGACCCACAGCCATGAAAGCATCCGTTGCATCCTGGCCAACCCAACCACAACGCTTGAACATGTGCAGACCTTGCATGAGTTGTTATTGGCCTATGGAGGGCAACAACAAATCAGGCCTTGCCAGGATGCAAAATGCCCAAGACATGGCGCAGCAATCGTACATCTACAGGCCGCAAAGATTGACAAATTAATCAGCAAGGCAGTAAGGCCACTTGAAAGCAGAAGACCAACAAGACGCAGATAACAGCAAAGGCGAAGCGGAGCAGAGAATAGACAGCACTGCAAACCCTTAGCCGAGCATCCAATGGCACATCTCAGTTTCCATGCTATGTGAAAGTTTCATGACCACTGAACAAAGCAAACAAGCCCGATGGCAATGAGACACGTACGTGGCCCCATCTTGTGTGCCGCTTGACTCATTGTCCCTAAACACCATCACCCTAACAGAAGGGCACGACACCTCTGATCAATAATACAGGTGGTGAAACCAGTGATTGCAGCCCTGCACCTGACCGGCCAAACGGCGCAACGGCGCCGCACCACCAGGATGATCCTTCCACATTCATGTGGTCCGTAGAAATCGGGAGCTATAAGTTGCTTTGTCCAAATCTCCAAGCAGGCGCTCTTTTTCCTTTCTGCCTCTTTCTGTGAGGCGGGCTCAGTACGAGCTCTTTCGCAACTCCTCCGCGGCTTTGGAAGTCACGGCGCCTGCGGCTTCTGGCCCGGGGCAGGTACTTATCATTTTGTCGCAGGTACTTTGTGAAAAGTTGAACCTCCGAGCAGGTCGCAAGCGTTTCGCGTTCAGAAGCCTGCGGAGCCACAGCGCTTGTGATGCAGTGGTAGGCTGCCAGCTGCCGCTCCCGGTGCCAGCTACAGCACTTTGGGATCACACTACCTTGCCAGTTCATGTATTGCAGATGATGAACCCTTCGAACACGCTGCACGCGTGGACTGGCATCGAGTTTGCTTCGGCAGAAGAGCCATTGTGAAAATTGTGTTGAAACTGTATGCTCGCAGAGGCTTGCCACCCATTCAAGATACCCCTCGCTGGTGATGCATAGCCACGGCAATCTATGGTGGCGCGCATATTCGGAAACTAAAAACGCGGATTCGGAAACTAAAAGCGCGGATTCGGAAACTGGAAAACGCGGATTCGGAAACTGGGATTCGGAAACTACTGCGCGCTGATTCGGAAACTGGAAAATCGGATTCGGAAACTAAAAGCGCGGATTCGGAAACTGTAAAGCGCGGATTCGGAAACTGACCAACGCGGATTCGGAAACTGATAAACGCGGATTCGGAAACTAAAAAAACGCGGATTCGGAAACTGATAAACGCGGATTCGGAAACTAAAAAAACGCGGATTCGGAAACTAAAAAAACGCGGATTCGGAAACTATTATGCGCGGATTCAGAAACTACTGCGCACGGATTCGGAAACTACTGCGCGCTGAGAGTTGTAAACTGGAACTGGTAACTTGCAAGATTTCTCTCGTGCAGGGGCTTCCACAGTGGTGCAAAGCAAAGCAAGAGCAACCAGGGTCCAGGCTAGTGAGGGAAGGTTTAGGAATTATGGCTTCGGGTCTAGGATTTAGGGTTTAGGGTTTGGGATTTTGGGTTTCGGATTTGGGAGATTTTAACATATTAGCTTTGCCTTTGTCACTCCATTCATCTTATCGCAGGCTGAAAGGAGGGGGTGATTTTAACATATGTCTCTACCTGGCTTTCCCTCTGTCTCCATTCATCCTATCGCAAGGTGCAAAGGGAGGGTGGATTTAACATATGTCTCTACCTGGCTTTCCCTCTGTCACTCCATTCATCTTATGGCAAGGTGCAAAGGGAGGGTGGATTTAACATATGTCTCTACCTGGCTTTCCCTCTGTCACTCCATTCATCTTATGGCAAGGTGAGAAGGGGGGGTGTTAACATATGTCTCTACCTGGCTTTGCCTTTGTCACTCCATTCATCTTATGGCAAGGTGAGAAGGGGGGTGGTTTTAACATATGTCTCTACCTGGCTTTGCCTTTGTCACTCCATTTATCTTATCGCA